CAATGATACATTCGTTATCGATGACCATCAATTTTATTTAACACCATCTTTAAATGATGTTAACTATAAACACAAATTTTATGTACATCCAAGACCAAGATATTTACACTTGAAAAATCAAATATATTACATTCAGCTTGAAGCATCCCAATTGAATGTAAATTCTTCAATTCACTTTATGACCAGCCATTTAGAACGTGCTGAAAAAACCACTAGTTTAAGGTCTCGCCCACTCCACAAAGTGTCTAATTTCTAATCGCATAATTGTGTGCCGACATGATAGACTTTTCATAGGTTTTGAGCGAGTTTTCCAGAAGCTCACTCCAACATACCTTGCACACGGAGAAACCATCTATACCACAAAAATATCTTTCAAAGCCAAAAGCCTAGTGCAAAATTCATTGTGGATTTCACCTTCACACACCTGACGATTAAATATCTATTGGTACTTAGCGACAGTATACAACTTTACTCCAACCGATAAACTTCAATGTCCTTAACCCTAAAACGACCACCACCGGTGAAAGTACCCTTGCCGCGACCAACCGTATCGGAGTACGAGCGTGGGAACTCACTACCACTACTCGCATCAACATTACAATTCCTACCAATCCAGACATCACCAAAAGAAGAAAAAGAAGAAAAAAAAGAAAAAGAAAAACCAAAGAAACGTTCAGTGATGATGGTTTAGGAAAAGTGACGCCACTTTCAAGTGAAAGATGAGAATGAGGCGGAACGAGTAAGTGCTTGTCGATGAAACAAAATACTAGTAAGATGAGCGGGTTATAAAGGAATTTACGCTTTTGGATTTGTATGATACACTGCATATTGACTTCCTTCTGGAGTTATGGGAAATTTTGTAGGTTTAATGTTGTGCGGGTTGGTCAAGGTGAATAAAAATGCGTTGGGATCTGAGTTATAGCGGTCCTCGGAGGTCCAGGGTATCATGGTAAACGCATTGCAGCGTTCATCTATTGCGTTAGAGTTAATTGTGGTTGTTTTCTGCCAGTGTATTAAGTAGAGGTCTGCGGACTGTCCGGATCGCGACACTTTTTACGGGATCGTGACGGGACGGAGAGCTAGAGATCTGCGGGACGGTTCCATGCGTGTGGAGCGGTCCGAGCTCCGCCGGATTTTTAATGTGACCGGAATGAGGTTTTCTGGAAATAGTAAGTGTGGAGCCTGAAAATTTCTTAGTTTCTTTGCTTGTTTGTATCCAGACACCGGTTCTGCGAGAAGGAACTCATAGAAAATTCTAAAAGTCTGCAGTTAATACCTGCAGGCATGTTGTTCGACGAGCCACATTGCAGCCGGTGACTTTGAAACTGTCAGCGCCAGTTTGAAAAAATATTTACGGGAACACGGAACGGGGACAGGGACCAAAAAGGTTTGGTCCCACAGGCCTGTAGTATTAAGTGGAAGAGATAGTATTTGAATTGTCCCACCAAATAGATAATTTCCTTCTTGAGACTGAATAATAGTCATGGTTGGTCCTTCTCCATCGCACTGACGATGAAAGTCTTTAGCGGCAAAACCGTTTTTTTCTGCTTTGTAAATCAAATGCCATCTTTGGCTCGTCTGTCCGTAAAATTCGTTTAGTTGTAATTGATGTCCCTTGTGCAGTAGTGCTCCACCGGTGAATAGTTGCTCTTGATTCGGGGAGGGTTTAGGTAAGGGAACCGCTTGGATCCAGTTTGCTAAATCGATTGAGCTGTTCGTGTTCCAATCAATTTTGTTGTCGTTTGACGTTAAGAGTTGTCTTAATTGTTTTGTCAATTTGGTTAATTCTGCTTTCCAATGGTCGACATCGGTTTCATCGTAATCACTCTGCGATTGTTTCAGGCGTAATTCCTTGGTTAACGAGTTAAATTCGTTTTTTATTTCTTGTTTTTCTTTAAACATTTGTAACAAACGTTCTTTGGCTGTTTTTGTTGTTCTTTTTATCTGATTCATCATTTCTTGTTCGAATTGATCAATTTCGCTAAACAATTCAGATGATTCACTGTTGTCTTTTGTGTTATTTAAATCTTGTTGTAGAAATGCATGTTTTTCACATAAACCATCAAACTGACGTTTAATTTCTTGTCGATGTTGTAAAGAATGTTCTTCACAAAACATTAGTCCACATCCGACGCACATGATAACACCTTGACGGCCTTTCTCATTCTTTGATTGTTTACAAGTGATGCATTCCCTTGAGCTTTTTATTCGTGGTAGAGCTGCTGCCATGCTTCGAAAATAATGAAATGGCCCAGTTTGCTCTTTTTCGTACACAGCACACACTTCTTTATCTGGAGTTTTTTTCTTTAATAAAAGCAAAAAATATTACGTTGTTCTCTGCTAACAGCATAAGTTTTATTTTTTAAGTATAATTCGTCACGTTGTTTTTCTCTTAATATTTACTTTTCTCCAATGTATTCACACATCATATTTTTATTCCTTTCTGTTTCTATAGTACTGTTTGCATGCAAGGGTCATTAATAATAAAATTTCTACATATGGGACTTGCATCTACCATTTCGATAAAAATTTCGATACAAAAATTGTTCCAAAAGTGTTTTATATGTTACTAGTAAGACTAATACAAAGTTTCATAAATTCATATATTCGGCTGTATTCCTACCTTTTGTGATTCAGAAAAATACTTGGTAGGTTTTTACAGGCTAAAAATCGAAGTTCTTTTGGAAAGATATTGAAAAATTTTCAAATATTCTAGGCTTTGATGTAGAAAGACCTGTACACATTCCCACCTTGGTTGCTGAAAATATTTTATACATTTTTATAAACTTGTCAGATAAAAGAGCTCATCCGATGAAGATTTTAGAAGCGTTAGCTTGAACGGTAGACTACTGACACAATGTTGCATCTTTTCCTTTTCTGATGCATCCAGCAGAGGTGGTTGCAATGAATGTCCAATTACTCAGTTATGAATAAAACTCTTTGTTTGAATCTTTTAAGAAATAAGTGTTTTGATTTTTGTAATATGAATAGCGATAGTGGTAGTGTCTGTCCGTCCGCGTATACCGACACAGTCAGTCTTGAGAATGATACTTTTACTGGTGGGGAATTTCCATCTATAATTCTATGCTAGAATTCTACTCAAAGTACCATACAAGTCTATGGGACAAGCAGAAATAACAAGTAGTAGTCATACGAAGAAAAGCGTAACGTCGTAATGGCAACTATTTCTCAATTCTCTCGCCAACAATAAAATCTTTTAAAACCAAACTGAGGCAGCACCTACAACTGTAAAAGGAGACAAAGAAAAAAAAGATGGGATAAAAAGGTGGCAGGTTTCTAGGTGTTTAAAACGTTTTTTGCTTCCTGACAATGTTTATGTGTAGATTAAATTTTTATATTGTAAAACTAAGGTTTACTCATTGCTGTTATCGAAATAAAAATCAATCAATCAAATTCTCTCCACTGTCAAGGGTACCCCTCCCTTTAGGCTTCCCGTAGAAATGCTGCGAATTAAAAACTAAAACTCACTAAGGCTTCATATTTCCAGAACTGATTGGAAACTCAATGGAGCACTTTTTCTCGTTTTTGTTTCAAGTTTCTAACTATTGCCGTTTATCAGTTTTCCGGAAAACTGATGTTTTTATTGTGTCACATTAGAATCCCCCCTTAAATTTCATCTGATCGAGTTAAAAATTTTATTTTTTTCTATTTAATTTTTTTCTGCAGAACCCAGTGAAAAAAAATGAGCGTGATTCAGCAAGTTCCTGCGGGAAAATATTTTTTCGTCCGGGGTTTCAATTTTCCTGCGGAAAATTTCCTTGTTTTCAGGGGGGAAAAGCAATTCATGGCGAAATTTTTTTTCCAACTATGCAAAATTTTTTTTCTGCCGAAAAACTAATATTCTGTGTATCCCAAAGAATGCAAGTGCTTACTCTGCACTATTTGCTAAATCAATAATATTTCACCTAGCAAGATTACTTGGATCAGAAGAACAGGCCGATGTGTGAGATTTTTACAAGAGCAAGCAATTATATTAGAGTCAAGCTCTGATTGCGGTCGTCATGTATACTGTCATCTTTACGCCAAGGAATGCAGTTAGCAATCAAATTTGTTTGTCGATTAATATTAATTAGTTTCCGTAAATGTTTCCCAAATTATTGTAAATCTTAATCAACTAATAGATTAAAAGATATTCGGGAAAATTGTCAAGGTTTATTTCAAAACAATACTGAATGAAGAAAATACTAATAGAATTTTGAGCGCTAATTGAAATGAGCAAAATGCTTCTTCATCTCGAAAAACTAGTAGTCGACTATAAATGTAAGTTAGTGATCATCCAAGTAACGTCTAATCTTTGATGACAATAAAACCGATTAAAGGATCCTATTTTAAGACCTGTGTATCGGATTAATCGCATAGCCTACAACATAGGCTACTTTGCATGTTTTTAGCCGAAACGTCAGGATACACATGTCGAAATGTGCTACAAACTGAAAACGTTTGAAGGATAAACTCAATAGTTGAAAATTTAGCTTAATTCTGGGCTAGGCTCGTATTTCAATCCAAGTGTTGAACCAAGTTTCGCACGAAGTAAGCATTTTGTAGCAAAAATCTGAATGCAGAAGTTGTTCAGGATCAAATTCTCTGAGATATGAACGAGGGCGTTTTTGAAATTCTTTAGACGCGATTTTTAAATACGAAAACACGGTTTTAAAAACTGAAAAATTTTGTAAATTAAAATTTAGAAATCAAGTTTAAAGTATTTCAAAAACTTCTTCGCTCATAATCCAGAGTAGGCTTGCACCAGTTCCAATCTTAGGCTTGGAGGATTGGTA